GATACTTGCCCATAGGGAAGCATTGAGGAATACTTGCCCATAGGGAAATATTGGGGGATACTTGCCCATAGAGAAGCTTTGGAGGATACGTTCCCATAGGGAATATTTGCCCATAGGGAAGCATTGGAGGATATGTGCCCATAGGGAAACATCAGGGAATAGTTGCCCATAAGGAAATTACTTGCCCATAGAGCAACACTGGAGGATAACTGCCCCTAGGGAAACAGATGGGCAAGTGTTCTCCTATATTTCTCTATGGGCAGGTGTTCTATGTTTCTCTATGGGCAAGAGTTCTAAGTTTCTTTATGGACAAGTGTTCTCCTATGTTTCCCTATGGGCAAGTATTTTGTGTTTCCCTATGGTCAAGTATGGGTTCTCTGTGGGCAAGTATAGTTTCCCTAAGGGCAAGTACTGTCATTTGTTTTAGTACGTCCAGGGTCTGTGGCCCACACTGTAGAAATAATTCACTTTGAAACCACTTGAAGTTCCCTAGCTCAATAATAGTGAATTTTGGGAATTGTCATTTTGGGAAACATTTGAGCCTTCTCTGTCAGGGAGCGCTGAGGCCACAAAACATAGCTAAAACGTGTACGCACACACACAGAAAAGTCACCCCTGCCTGAATAAAAACAAATAAATAGCAAAATCTGATGCCCTAATGAACTACCATTCCCAGGATTCCCTAGCACTCAGCCCAAGCAGTTAAAGTAGTCCAATGCTGGATTATTTCTGCAGTCCGTTTTGGATCTGTGTTGGTCTTTCTCTCACTCTGGGTGCATCTGCACTGCAGGAATAATCTGGTTTGACCCGGCTTTAAACTGCCCTGACTCCATGCTATAGAATGCTGGGAATGATGGACCTAAATTTTGTTATGTGATACAAATAAATTTGTTTCTTTCAAAACTGCTAAATTCTTAACTAAGTTTATGTAATTATGAGTTACATTATATAAGACAAGGATGGGTAGTGTCTCTACATAGCTTGATAACTTTTCTTGTAAACTGTTTTATGAGTTCTTACATTTGTGTAAACTGGCTTTTTACTTGTAACACAATAATTTCTTCCTCCTCCTCCTCCTCTTCTTCTCTCTCTCTCTGCAGCGAAGCCCCACAACCTGAAGGGTGAAAAATAATAATAAATAAATAACATTCAGGGAGAAGGCAAGTCATCAGGCATTCAAACCATTCCAGAAGGGAAGTATTTTCAGCCCACCTCCTTATTATCCTCAATTTTTTTGGTTGTCCAGGCCTGCTGAAAGACACTCTGCACATGGTCTGGAGCTCTGTTCTGGGAGGTGTTGGGAGATCATGGAGGTCCAAGGCTGGAGGCTTAGAACAGGTTCTAATAGCCAAACCCTAGATGAGGTATGATGGTTATCAGTGTCTTACACCTTCCCCCCCCCCTTTTTTTTTTTTTTTTTTTTTTTTGGCAAAGTAAAAACTGTAAAACGGAATAGGCTATAATATGAAATGACGCACACCTGCACAAGAACAAATCCTAGGGATAAATTGTGTGATTAGATTGTAAGCCGCCTTGATAGCCTCGGTTAAAGCGGGATATAATTATTATTATTATTATTATTATTATTATTATTAATAATAATAATCAATAGGCATTCTTTAGATGCTTTACATTTCGCCATGCGCATCCTCTCAAATGTTTTTTTCCAGGAGGCCTTCATCCCTGATAAATATGCATCAGATTGCACCAAAAAGCGGCTAAGACAAGTCTGCTAGGTTCAGTCTCCTTCTCACAGCTCAAATTACTTGGTGCCTTCAGGGACCCATGTTTTTGGAGTGGGAAGGTCAACAGTGGTTTATTATTAATTTTGGCTCCTTGCAAGTACTTGGGTGGGGAGATTAGTTTCAGCCTGTCATCACTGAAACATCCTCAAATAGGACGATTCTTAGAAGCACATTGTGTACTTTGAGGTGCTCTCCATGCGTTCAGTATGGTTTACTCTTAAGAAAGTGCGGACAGGGTGGGTTGCAGGTAGCCTTTCGTATCCATTGGCTCAACATCAGTCGCTGTCCTAATATTTCTTAGTGCCCGAACATTTACTACACTTCTGATTGATAATTCTCGAGGAAATGTTGACAGTATAGGAGTCTTGATGCTCCAAGTTTGCCAGATCATTTCAAGGTGGGCTCAGCACTTCAAAGCCTAATCCTTGGGACAGGGGGGGGGGGGGGAGAATGAGCTTCCCTACTCTCCTTTCTCATTCCAGAGTCCATGGATATCTTCCTTCACTCTTTCCCTATATCTCCTTTTATTGTATTTTGTCCATAGACAGAACAAAAGTGGCTGGGCTCCATCATGGCTGTAGCTACTTGTTATTAGGCAAGGAGAGGGTTCCTGTTTCAAGTTGGTTGGTTTACCTAGCTAAGCTGTGGCAATGAAAAGGGGTTCTTGACTTCAACTAAACCCAATAAAAGATATAGCCGTGTTAGTCTGTAGAATCATTATGTAGAGAGATCTTGTAGCACTTTTGAGACTAACTGAAAGAAAGAAGTTGGCAGCATGAACTTTCGTAGATTCAGTCTACTTCCTCAGATGCATATAGACAGATGCATATAGGAATTGGAGAGCTTCAACCGGCTTTTAAAAAATTTAAAATTTTAATTTTTAAAAAATTATTATTTGTAAACTTTCTTTACAAATAATATTTTTTTTACCAAATTTTCATTTCAACCACATGAAACGATGCATATGTAAATGCACTGAGGCTGTGCTATGATATAGTAATTTTAAGGTATGATTTTAATTTTGCTAGTTGTTTTATGTCACAACGATCACCATGACACTCAGTAATATGCAGGGATTGTGATTCATGAGTAACTGTAGTACAAAAACCATGACTAAAGTATGGGGGTGACGGTGGAGGTGGCAGCATGAGTTACTGCACCAGGTGACACCAACCCTAGTAATGTCACTGACTAAACCCTGGAATTTTCTGCTTCAAATTAAGACCCACTGCTGAATCCTAAACCAAATTGCCTGTTTATCTTCCCAGTTTATCTTTCCACTGTGTGCCAGCCGAACCATAAGGCACAGTGTGATGGGTTGCCTCAGGCAGATGATACCAGATGTCATGCAAGGATGTATATTTACTATTGTAAATTGTACTTTTTTACTGGCAAAAAAAAAAAAAAAAAGGGGGAAATGTATTTTGGAGTGTGTATTTAGTTTTGCCTCGGATGCCAAAATAACTCATCTGATTTAAAGTGCTCTGCAACTTAACTCTGGGAGCGAGAGCTGCCTGTTGTAGCTCTGCCTCAGGCAGCCAAGTATTTTGGGTTGGCAATGGAAAATTCAGAGGCAGATCAGGGCCCACCATGTAGCATGTGTCTACAGATAGGAAAGGAGGCACAGCTTCTTAAGAGCTAATTGTATGCCTATTGACTTGGAAGCAAGCTGCATGGTATTGGAAGCAAGCTGCCTTACATCCAAGAAAGTGTGCACAGGAAGACATAGAAATCCTATCAGCTAAATCCTATGCATTATTTCCTGGAAAGCAAGGCCTTCTGAGTTCAGGAGGAATCTCTCCCATGAAACTTGAAATTCAGTGCATCTATTCAGATATGGCACTAGAAAGAAGTCCTTAGTGCATTTGCTGTCACTGGTCTTAGGCAATATTTTTCATATTTCATTGTGTTATATTTTATCCTATTTTTAGATAGGTGTTGTTAATGATATTGTTCTTAGTTATTCATTTCTATATCCCACCTGTCTCCCAATATTGGAGCGCAAGGCCCCTTGAAAATTTGTTGTTGTGCGCCTAAGGCGAACCTATCGGGGGATTTTCTTGGCAAGCTTCTTCAGAAGAGGTGTACCATTGCCATCCTCTGAAGCTGAGACAGCATGGACTTTATCACACGGGGGAAATTCCATGCAGAAATGGGGTTTTAAATTGGAAGAAACCTACAAAAGCGGGTAGATTTTCAGACAACATCATTGCTAAACTATTGTTAACCCGAACGGATCTTCCAAAAGTAAAAAGAAATGGTTTTTGACTACTTTCCGTTCGGGTTAACAACAGTTTAACAGCGATGTGTGTGAAAATCAACCCGCTTTTGTGGGTTTCCCCCAGCTTTTAAATCCTGTTTCTGCACAGGATTTCCCCCACCTGATAAGGTCCTATGACTTGCCCAAGATCCCCCAGTGGGTCTACATGGCCAAACTGGGATTCAAACCCTGGACGCCAAAGTCCTAGTCCAACACGCAAATCACTACGCCATGCTGGCTCTCACCTTGCAAATACTGGAACAAATAAAGGACTTAATTTATTGGTTGTATCCAAGAGGCAATTTAATGGCTGTGTTCAAGAGGCAATTGCAGCAGGCCAAGGAACAGGAACCCTATCCCTTATTTCATCTGGCAACTTAGAGCTTGTCCTACATCTTTTAAGACAGGCCTACTACCTTGCATTGTTATGGCAAATGTTTTCCTACAGTCCCACTGTGCCCAAGGACCAAATTATACTGAAGGGCAGCATTCAAAGTCAAGATCAGAATTTTTAAAGGTGCTCAAAAGCACACAACTGCAGCACATGACTACATTCTTGGTATCCCAGTGTGCAGAGGGAACATGCAATTGTTAGACCAGTCAATTTTTGTTATGACGAATAAAAGGTGTCCCCTTTTCATTAAGCATCCAAATGGGTCTCTCTGGACCAAAATAGACCACTGTGGCGGTGGCAGGGACCATTACACACAGACACAGACACACACAGAGACACATAGCAGTGTCTTTTGGTGTGCCAAAAGTGATGCCATGTTGCCTCTGGCTGCTTTTTTGGCCTATTCTGGGCCTTTTTAAAATTATGAGGGAAGCAAGCCACCGCCTTGGCGGATGGTTTGGAGTACTTTTGGAAAATTCTCAGGATCACGACCCAAACATGCTCCTGCCATGCTTAATTGTTGCCATGTTTATTGATGTGTTTAAACATGCGTAAATGCAGGACGATGGATTACGCTGTTCTATTGGTGATGCTGTGTCTCAGGTGCAGGATACTAAGGATAATAAGCAGGATAATAAGCAGATGTGGCAGGGCTATGGGAGGAGGGAGGAGGAGTTGCCAATTTTCAAGGTTGTTCTTGTAGGAATCCGGAGCTTGGTACACAGGGAAAAGATTGTGTTTTGGATTGCTGACAAATGTGGTGAAGGCTTCTGCAGTGGGTGAATGGATTGAACTCTAAATATACTGGTGTAACAGAGGATAATTTCTCAGATCTGACAACAACTTTGTACTGTGATTTTCTTTGCCTGCTGAATAAAGTTTTTCTGAATCTATGGGAGGCTTGTGTTCCTGAGATGGTGTTAGGCTGTCCGTTACACAGGTGACAAAATGCCCCAAAATCACACACCCATATCTATCTATCTATCTATCTATCTATCTATCTATCTATCTATCTATCTATCTATCTATCTATCTATCTATCTATCTATCTATCATCTAGTCCTGCACCTTTTAAGCTTGTCCTGCACCTTTTAAGACATCCTTCTGCCTTGAGTTGTTATGGTAAATGCTCTGTGCAGCTCCTAAAAATCCCTAGCAGCTCCCAGCCTCCCAAAATTGTGTGTGTGTGTGTGTATACATATGGAACTTATGTATACTGGGGGCTGGGAACTTATAGGGGATTTTAGGAGCTGCACGGAGATCCCCCGGGCTGTTTGTGGCTTCCAGGCTGCACTTTGCTCACTCCTGGGCCGGACCCAAATGACCTGCTGATCCAGTTTATCCACCTGCCATACTCCCATCTTCTTCTTGTTTTTGTGTGCCTTCAAGTTGTTTCTGACTTAGGGAAACTTTTTTTCAGAGGCTTCATTGTTGATGATGTTGTTGTTTTGCCATTGCCATCCTCTGAGGCTGAGAGAGTGTGACTTGCCCAAGGTCACCCAGTGGGTTTCCATGGCCAAGCTGGGATTTGAACCCTGGTCTCCAGACTCCACCTAGTCCAACACTCAAACCACTACACCAGGGGTAGGCAACCTTTCCCCTTTAAGGGCCGAGGGACTTCAGCTCCCAGAAGCCTCAGCCATGTTGGCCAATAGTCCCATGTTGGCCAATAGCTCCAGGGATTCTGGGAGCTGAAGTCCCTCGGCCCTTAAAGGGGACAGATTGCCTACCCCTGCACTACACCATGCTGGCCCTCATGCTCACATAGGAAATATCCACACTGTAGAAATAAAGCAGTTTGACACCACTTTAACTGACATGATTATATCATACCGAATCCTGAGATTTGTAGTTTGGTGAGGCACCAGAGAGCACTCCAACAGACCAGGCTCAATACCTCATCAAACTACAAATCCCAGGATTCCACAGGAAGTTGCCAGGGCAGTTAAAGTGGAATTATAGTGTTATAATTCTGTGGGGTGAAAAGGCCCCTGGTAGTCAGCACTCGGAAGGTAATGATGTGAATTCTCATCCACACATGGGAGAGAGAACCCAGCCAAGGGCAGTTTCTCTGGGCTGATTCAGGTCTGCAAAGATGTGATCTTGTCTGCTGAACATCAAGCACACATGCTCCATTCTTTCCTGCTGCTTCTCCTCTAGCTCTCCCCATCTGTCTAAAATTATCTGGATTTCCGATCTGGATTTCCTCCTTCCTAGTGTTCCTATGAGGGGCCTCCAGCTATTCACTTTTGAAAGGCAAATGTATATAGCCTGCCGGTGAGTGCAAAGAGCGCCGTCTTTCTTATCTGTTCTGGTGCCCTGCAAAGTCAGCTTCCACTTTCTTCTTCCCTATCAGGAACAGCAATCCAAGCTTTCAAGGCTCCTTTTTGATTCCATCAGCTTCCCTGGCACAGCTCCTTTGTCCTTTAGACACTGTCACTGCTGTGATGAGCCATAAATGCTGCTGGCAAGGTTGGGAAGGGGGCAGGGAGAAACACACTGTCCAAACACCAGAGCTGGATCAATATTAGCCCAATTGGATTCTGTATACGGATTGGGGGGGCAGGATCTTGTATTTTGCTTCAGGTAGCAAAGTATCTTGGACTGAGTCACACCCTTTCTTTCTAATCTACTTTTAGGTTTATTGTGTAGATCCATGTGCTCCTTGGAGAAAATAACAGTCAGTGTAGACAACTGTATATTTATAGACTGGTGATGAGACTAACATATGGGCCTGATTTACTAAATAATGAGAGAAGCAAAGTCATGAAAGCTAGAAAAACTCTCATTCCTGACTCAGCTCAGCTATGAAAGCCAATCTACTGATGATTTACCTAACTTTAAAGGAAGAAAGTGCCAAAGCAGGGCTACAATTAAATATTAAGGAAAGAAAAATGATGACTGCAGATGATGTACTTAACTGTAAAGTGGATGATAAAGAAGGCTAAGAAAGAAATTGATAAGATCCTCAAATGTAAAGATGTATCATTAAATACCACAGTCAAAATCATCCATTCAGGGGTAGTTGTGTTGGCCATTTAGCAAATCCAAACAAAAATCCATCAGTGACAAATAAAGGTATCAGTGATGGATTTCAGAATCATCCATGTTACAGTATTTCAAATTTCTGTGTATGGTTATGAAAGCTGACAGGAACAGAATCAACTCATTTGAAATGTGGCGCTGGAGACGGGTACTATGGATGCCACAGACTGCCAAAATGCGTAATAAATGGGTCCAAGGACAAATCAGGTCTCTGACTATTTAAGTCAAAATTAAACTAAGGACCTTTGCAGACTGCTAAAAATAATGCAAATTGAGTCCACTTTAACTGCTCTGGCTCAGTGCTAGGGAATCATGGGAATTGTATTTTTTTCTGAGACATTGAGCCTTCTCTGTCAGAGAGCTCTGGTGCCACAATAAACTACAGTTCCCATGATTCCCTAGCACTGAGTCAGGCAGTTAAAGTGGACTCAGTTTGCACTATTTCTGGCGGTCTGCAAAGGCCCTATTGTACTCAGACACATCTTGAGATGACATGATTCACTGGAAAATATGGTAATGCTGGAAAACGTGGGAAGCAGTAGAAAAAGAGGAAGGCCATGATGGATTGAATCAATCAAATAAATCATGTTTTTGAGTTTGCAAGATCTGAGCAAGGCTGTTGGTAACCAGGGCTCTTTCATAGGGTTGCTGTAAGCTGGAGTCAACTTGATGGCAAGAACAATAATAAAATGTATTTTGTTGTTGTGTCCCTTCAAGACGTTTACGACTTATGGAGACCATAAGGCTATCATGGGGTTTTCTTGGCATGTTTCATCAGAGAGGGTTTGCCATTGCCATCCTCTGGTGCCTTTGTTGTTGTTGCTGTTAACTGCTTGCATCGGTCTTGACCCATGGCAACCCTATGGATGAGACATCTCCCTTCTCTCCTGCTCTGCCCAGCTCCTACAAGCTCATATTCGTGGTCTCTTTAATAAAGTCCATCTATCTAGCATGTGGCCTTCCTCTCTTTCTACTTCTCTCCACCATTCCTAACATTATTGTCTTTTCCAATGATTCATGTCTTCTCATGATGTTCAAAGTACGACAGTCTAAGGGGGGAAGCAGATGACTGCTTCCGGGACACCGCCGGACGGAGCGCTGGTGGAGCAGAGCCTCCGCACCGCGGCGCTCCTGCGGCGTCCCTAAAAGGAGCTCCAAATTGGCGCTCCTTTTAGATGTCAGGGAAAGTGCACCCTAAAAGCGGCGGGCGCACTTTCCCTGACTCTTCCGCCGCAGCGCATGCAGTCGCTGCGGCGTGAGGTCATCCCCAGAGCGCCGGCCGTGCGGAGGGCCGGCGACTCCGAGGGCGACCTCAGGAAGAGGAAGGGGCGCCACTCGTGCGGCTGCCCCTCCTCTTCAGGGCCTCGAAGACGACTCTATTAGTCGTCTGCCGAGGCCCTAAGTCTTGTCATCTTGGCTTCTAGGGATATCTCTGGCTTGATCTGCTCTAGGACCCATTTGTTTGTTCTTTTGGCTGTCCATGGGATCCTCAGCATTCTTCTCCAGCCCCACATTCTCTCAAATGAGTTGATTTTCCTCCTATAGGTAGTATTAAAATATGGTTACTGTCTTTCCAAAAGTCAACCTGTAAGGAAAGGGAAAGAGAAGGCTGGTTGCATAACTAATAAATGTGTACAGAATTTGTTGTGCAGAATTTGAAGTGGTCTTGTTTAACTGTAGCAGCCCAGACTCTTTTGGATAGTCTATTATAGTTGTTGCTATTATGACAGCTGGACATTTTTTAGCTGGATAGTCTAGTTGGATACAAACTCAGAACACTTCATTGCACTGAATCTCAGA